TTTCGGGTGGAGGGAAGCGACGACCGGAAATAGGTGTGCGTTCGCAGGCTACCCATTGGCCGGTTGGCTAAACTAGTCAGAACACAGAAAGCGCTGCATCGATATCATAGAGGTGGAGATTTCGAATAGAGTGCAAGCCTGAATTTTCTTAGACTTTCTTTTGGTAATTGAAAAGGTTGCGTATATAACTGCGATGATCTTCTTTACATTCAACAGTAGGGAAAGTGAATTCATATTTTGTATTCCTTTCTATCAGGCGGGTCTCTTGGATGACTTCAACGACCTAGCGGTCCAGTTTATGACAGAACACAGAAGACGCCGAGAAATATTGGTAGCAGCAAAACACAAAGCTTTAGCACAAGCTGAATTCCAGACGGAAGCCAATTTTTATGTTTCTGTGATGGTTCGAATTGCAGAGCATGGAGCTGGAATAGTTAATGAGGAAATTGATCGATTGGAACGCTTAATCGCCGGTCCATTGCATGCTAATAAGGCAGACGAACTTGAAAAGCGAAAAAATATCCTAAAGCAGTTCGAGGTCTTGCATTACGAGAGAGATGAATTATAACCTGCTCGTGTCTACCGTAATTTACTAAACTGAGTTTTCCATCTTTGTAATTTAGTTGACAAATATTCCAGTTTAAGCAGGTTTCTTTTCTTTCTTTTTTTAGTAAAGATTTACCCTCAAATATATTTGTCCTACGATTCAGCTATCGCTTTAATTTAAAGTTTCAATTAAGACTTGCCAATTCTTATAAGTGACGTTTAATTTCTGGGTCTGTTAAGTAAAAAGTCGCTGATGATAAGAGAACCAAAGTTGGAAGCAATTTACTGATGAAGCATACGTTGAAACAAACACAGCAGCAAGGTTACACTGCGTTGTAGCTTGGTCATTTTTGTATTGTCTTTAAAATCACATTTAGCTATACAGATGGTGCTTCAGCTTTAACAGCTCCTTTCCAAATAAAAACTTAACTTCAAGGACTGGTGCAGTTTTCTTTTTGTTTACAAAGATCATATTCCCTTCTTTCCCCTGTGTCCACTCTTTCTGTAAAAGTGTAGGTAAAGTGTAGCTAACATTCCCCGGTAAATGCAAAAACCTTTGGCCTCTGACAAAGCATCACAAGAGAAGAAGAAAAGATAGCCTTGCTAGCGAAAGTCAATGAAAAAGTTCTGTTCAGCCACTTATTGGTCGTTTGAGTTTGCCCAGGCCCCCTTATCCCCTCGGTCCATTTGTTCGGGTCACGTTGCCCAGCGATGAATTGACGGATCCGTCCACCGAAACGCATGACCGTGAAGCTTACTTAAGACCTGTGGGAAAACGCCATGCAACCGACTTCAAGATTAACTGAAAAATATCTCCTTTATCAGCATGTATATTAACTCTCTTCATGGAATGAGTAGGTTCAGCACGACGGACGATCTCAATTCACGCTCCAAAACGATACACTTTGTGTCAAGTTCATATATGTCTTTTTAAGCAACGTTTTTAGGTCTATTTCGCCCTAGGAATTATTCAGTACCTCCGAGCCACAGCGATTCCATATCGATTTCACGAACGTGGTCTGATAAAGGTATCCAGGAAAACAAGAATACCCCCAATATTCCTCTGTTTTAAATAGTCCATGTAAGCACGTCTTGATCGGCCCTGCAAAAGAGAAAACAAGAAGAAACGTCTGTCTGTTTTGATACCACTGACAAGGGCCACGTTAGACAGAATACCTGCTAGAAATCGCCTTCCCATTTTTTAACATCTTTTATGAAGGCCAAGAAAGTCATTGAGCGATTTTCGTGCAAAGTTTACGAATGAAGACAACAAACGAACAATTTGATTGGTTTAGTGAAGTCAGACGCATTAAGTTTTTAGTCTGTTTACGCCCAAGGAATCTGTTTTTACCAGATAAGGAAAAAATCCTAAAGTTCGTTTTCAAGGTAAAAGTTTATCATTAAAATGATCTTGCCGGCAAGTCCTTACCTTAATTAAACTTGGAGTGAGCTTCATGTCTTCAGACTGAGTCTTGAAATTTAAAAAAGAAAATGTTAAGTCAGATTCGGATTCTAAACCAGATGCGAAAGCTTCGAAAGAGACTATTCCTGAGCAAGCTAAGGAAATTGAGACTGGAGAAAGCAGAATTTCGTATTGATGTGGTTAACTTGACAACTCGTGGAGAAGCAATCAGTCCCTCACCTGATGTAGAAATGTCCAAGCTTCTCCCACCAAAGATATGTGGTGATGAATTGAAAACAACTCATTCATGTGGCGCACAGCAAGAGAGTCAGTCACTGAGCTTAAAAAGAAAAGAAAAAGAAATGAAAGTAACTTGGATTTCATGAGTTCTTATTCTACAAGAAACTTAGATTCTTTTTATGTCCCATGCTCTTGTTTCTCTCTAAAAGTTCACGCTAAACCAAGCGGCTGTTTTCTTAAATTTGGCCCCAAACGACGGTTGCAAAGTGAATACATACTGCTTTAAGAGAGAGACGGGACTTCACATACCGCTCTTCTTCTCTCCTTCTCAGTATTTGCGTCTCAACGATTTCAACTTCCCCATCATTTTGAGCATTTTCATATTTTTATTCGTAAAGCAAGCGAGGGTGCTAAAGTACTGTATTTACTCATACCCTAATAGGCATCGAGGTGCTCGCTTATCGAATTTTTTACGCGTCAAGTGCGGCGTTTATTCGAGGGTGGCATTTATCCGAAAGTTGGACGCGACAAAGAAATGTAGTCTTTCGATTTTGATTATATCAAAGCCGCGGCGCCTTTTTAATTTTTTCCCTGAATACGACACTTATTTGAGTAAATACGGTAACTCTATGATGCAGCTGCAGTCAAAGAAAGCATTACTTCCGTTTCTTAGCAGATCTTCGACTTACTCTCTATCTCCTGGTTATATCTAAGTGTGTACACGTGACGAAAAGGGTGCAAACATGACATGTTTTGCCGCCAAACATTCGAAGTTTGGGATGGCGTTAGACGAATGTTCACATGCAAAGTAGGCGGCTGTTTGTCGACTTGATTTGCTTTCTCGCCGTTGAGAAGAATCAGTCTAATAGAATCAGAATAATTTTTAAAAAGCAAGTGCGTTGTTTCTAAGCGAAAAATATTCCTGAAAGTTGAGAAAATTAAAAGATAATCGAAACGCGATGCTCAAAAACATATAAACAACTTAAACCTTTGGCGTAACAGTTTGCTTTGACGGTCCTCAAACTTCAAATGTTTGGCGGCCAATCATGTCATGTCTAACACTCAATTAGAACATGTTTTCTTGAGTCGTGTCCACGCTTAAATGCAATCGACGGTACATCACCAACCTTGGAATACTGAAACAAAAGGATTTCTCCCTATCTATGAAGGCTTTGTTTCGCCACAGACTATCGCAAATATCCAAAATGTACTGATTGAATCTCTGTATACTTTGAAATCCATCGGGAAATGCCAGCGGAGTGCTCTGTTGACAAAAAATAAAACCGAGAAAGATGTTATACTTGTCATGTCGACACAAGCGTGGGGCAAAGGAATAAGATCCATACGTCCGCGTGCCCGGTGGGAATGACAATCACCAATCCAATTCAGACACCAGTCAGGCGCTTTGACCACTGAGCTATTGTCGGTTCTAGACAGTATATATGTTGTGGTTCAATTTTATCCTTGGTTCAAAATTTATTTTCTTTTGTTTCCAACTCATTATCATGTTATTATCACACATTACCATACCCAAAAACAAAAGAAAAAAAATTTTGAACCGAGGATAAAATTGAACCACAACATATACACAATGCGGACCTACATACCGTGTGACGCGAAATTATGCGGGAGGCTTGCGGGAGTTTAATTTTGCGGATCGCCGTGACCACATTCGCTGGATCAACGTTCCTACGGCTGTCTTATTCAGTTACGGTAAAATTTCTTCGTATGGCAATTGTCTTGGCCAACGACAAGAAACCAGGCAAAATCTTAACAGCAAATCTGTGATTGCCCCCTGCTCTTACAAACGTACCTGAGATTCTCCTTGCGATATTTTGAGCGATTCAAACTCCTTCTTGTAACTGAAAGCAATAGATCGATAAGACTTTGGAATTAGTTTAAATTACTTTGACGCTTTGGTCAATCCCACAAAAACCGGGCCTGGGGCTGGGGAGCACCGAAGACTATGACGTCGACGGCGAAAATGTCGGTAAAAAATGAATTTGCGTCCTTTCAAACTTAATCGCGTCTATTTGGACCCCTCAATTTGTCAAAAGTAGGCGATTTTTCCTGAAGATGAATTCTTAAGGATTTTATCCAGTTTCAAAAAGAGAAAGAAAAGTTCGTCGTCGTATGTTCACTTCCTCCATAAAACGACACTTTAGGAGGTTTCNAGCGAAAAATATTCCTGAAAGTTGAGAAAATTAAAAGATAATCGAAACGCGATGCTCAAAAACATATAAACAACTTAAACCTTTGGCGTAACAGTTTGCTTTGACGGTCCTCAAACTTCAAATGTTTGGCGGCCAATCATGTCATGTCTAACACTCAATTAGAACATGTTTTCTTGAGTCGTGTCCACGCTTAAATGCAATCGACGGTACATCACCAACCTTGGAATACTGAAACAAAAGGATTTCTCCCTATCTATGAAGGCTTTGTTTCGCCACAGACTATCGCAAATATCCAAAATGTACTGATTGAATCTCTGTATACTTTGAAATCCATCGGGAAATGCCAGCGGAGTGCTCTGTTGACAAAAAATAAAACCGAGAAAGATGTTATACTTGTCATGTCGACACAAGCGTGGGGCAAAGGAATAAGATCCATACGTCCGCGTGCCCGGTGGGAATGACAATCACCAATCCAATTCAGACACCAGTCAGGCGCTTTGACCACTGAGCTATTGTCGGTTCTAGACAGTATATATGTTGTGGTTCAATTTTATCCTTGGTTCAAAATTTATTTTCTTTTGTTTCCAACTCATTATCATGTTATTATCACACATTACCATACCCAAAAACAAAAGAAAAAAAATTTTGAACCGAGGATAAAATTGAACCACAACATATACACAATGCGGACCTACATACCGTGTGACGCGAAATTATGCGGGAGGCTTGCGGGAGTTTAATTTTGCGGATCGCCGTGACCACATTCGCTGGATCAACGTTCCTACGGCTGTCTTATTCAGTTACGGTAAAATTTCTTCGTATGGCAATTGTCTTGGCCAACGACAAGAAACCAGGCAAAATCTTAACAGCAAATCTGTGATTGCCCCCTGCTCTTACAAACGTACCTGAGATTCTCCTTGCGATATTTTGAGCGATTCAAACTCCTTCTTGTAACTGAAAGCAATAGATCGATAAGACTTTGGAATTAGTTTAAATTACTTTGACGCTTTGGTCAATCCCACAAAAACCGGGCCTGGGGCTGGGGAGCACCGAAGACTATGACGTCGACGGCGAAAATGTCGGTAAAAAATGAATTTGCGTCCTTTCAAACTTAATCGCGTCTATTTGGACCCCTCAATTTGTCAAAAGTAGGCGATTTTTCCTGAAGATGAATTCTTAAGGATTTTATCCAGTTTCAAAAAGAGAAAGAAAAGTTCGTCGTCGTATGTTCACTTCCTCCATAAAACGACACTTTAGGAGGTTTCACGTCGTGGTCGTGCAGTGGACGTCAAAAAAATGTACTAAAAAGCGTGATGCACGTGTAGAGCTGTCGTTTTGATCGTCGTCGTTGTCGTCCTGGTTACTTCAGCTTATGAAACGAAGTTGGTTCAGCCCTCATGGCGATTACTTTAATCCAATCATTTTGTCCAAAGGTATGTAGGCGAATTTTTCTGGAGTTTCATTATTACTCAGGGGACGCGTCCAAGTTTAAAACGAGAAAGGAAAACTCGTAACCGTGTGTTCACGTCCTCAACGAGACGTCCCATTTCATTTGCATTTCCCGTTGTAGAGCGATTTTCGTATCACCTCAAAATCAAAACTCGCCAACAAAACAGAAACGACAAACGAACGGAAAGAGAGCGACTTGGTTGGTTTATTGAACAGATACAAACGCGGGTGACTTTTCGTTGGTTAAACGAACGCTCGGGTGAAAAAACTTCATGCCTGAGAACTTTCTAGAAATCAACTGATACTTCGCTTTGACGTCATACTTCGACACGATTGGCCAATCGAACAATGCCTTCTCCATATCAGGGTTTTCTTTGGCGGGAAAACGAAGAGTCCATGTTTTGATCTTTTCATCCATTGGCTGAAAAAACAAATAACGAACACTTATCGAAACCATTTTTCAAGGTCATACGAAAATCACTCTATCGTACTTAGTTTGAGGACACGTTTACACCGCACAGCACCGAACCGGTTGAAACTTCGTGCATTTAGTTTTTCCGTTCACACGGAACAACATTAACCGTACGAAAATGTAGACGCTCAGCCGTATATAGGTCCGTGTGAATTGAGCCAAAAATATTGAACGGCCCCGGGTGATCGAATTTTCCGGTCAAATATTTTTAGCCTGAATCGACAGGCCCCTCGCCTTTTTTCCTCAATTGAGTACTTACTTGACAATGATATGACATAATCTTGAGACTGCCATGGAATTATTAGAAAACAACATCCTGTAGATGATTCCTGACGAAGGAATAAGGACAAAAGGAAGAGAAAACTGCCTGTGGGAAGTTGACACCTGAAAGATCGAAAAGCAAAGACAATTATGCTTGTTTTGAAGGGCAACAAACTAATCTTCAGTCTAGGTGCGTTTTAGACAAAAGTGGTTTCAGAATGGCCCTGTAATCCCATTTTAAAAAAATTCATTTCAGTCAACCTATATAGAATTTAGGGGAAGTTTGGAGAGCACTCGACAAGCTAAAATCAAGAGAGTATCTTTATCCTCTCCTGCTAAAATTGACCTTGGCTATGCCTCGAGCAACTCTCACTCCGCATCTCTCGTGCTCTACAAACTCCCTCCGTGTATTCCTAACTCGATATACGCACGCTCGACCTCGTTCCCAGGTTCTCTCTCCTAGGGACGGGTAGGAGAGAACCCTGGAAAGGAGGTTGACCAGACGTTATGCATGAACCAATTCTCCAGTTCAGAAACCCCAGGAAGAATGGGTATGAGCTTTGGGCGCAGTGATTTCTGGGAACATTTGAATGGACAAGAGTTAGTTATGACTGGTCGGTCGATGGTATTCAAGGCAACTATTAACCAATCATAAGTAGCCCTTGTCCATCCAAAATATCCCAGAAATCGTTGCTCCTAAAGCTTGCACCTATTCCCCTTCTTTCTGAAATAGGGAATTCTTCATTAGTAACAGGGGGCGCTTTCCATTCAACAAAAATCCCGGTTTGAAATTTCGTCAATTTCACGTGCCCAATGGAACGGTACATTCCGGTTGCACAGACCCAACCCAAGCCACCGCGCGTTTGGTTATTGTTCTTGTAAGCAGGATACAAAAGAGTGGTACTGGGGACAACAATGTTGTCAAATGGAAAGGAACATTTCGGTCCGACCGACCGAAATAACCAAACCGGTCAAAGTTGACCACCCTCAAAGCTGGTCCCGAATATTCCGGTCGGACCAAACCGAAATGGTCCTTTCCATTTGATGTACCAACCGAAATTTCCAGAATTTTGGGTGGAATGGAAAGCGCCCGGAGTGTTCCAACTCACCAGCTCAAAAAAATTCAGAATCCAGTGTTGTAAAAGGGCGTGGTCTCCTTCAACCTGTAAAATAAACAGAAAAAACACTTAACACCTTTCCAATCTCTAACCCCGTGCGTTAATCGTTTGCGATAAATCGAAGGAAAACGGAACAAAAACGAAACCTAAATTGTTTCCTTATCACTTTTTGACCAGGTGTCGCTCTTACAAAACCGCTGGATTCGGAGACAATTCGCTTTCCTTTTTCACAAATCACACGTTTTCCAGTGTTTTTCATCCATAGTAGGTTTTTCTGGAAGTACCATTTCCCGAAAAAAGCC